CTCGTCACACGGAGGTTGAGTTTAGACACAGCGATGGCGACAGGTGTCGCGACAAGGACTTAGGTCCAGAGTTGTCAGCGTGAGACTCCCTGTACGAAGCGGCGCTGAAAGTTAGTTCGCGATCAGAATTATTTCTTTGGTGGCGATCTCGCTGAGTTTGTCCAGCAGTGGCGAGTCTCATATGCATAGCAACGAAGAGCCCTCATAAAATCGACACTGGATACTGATGGCGACGATAGTCAGTGCTGGAGTAATAGCGACTGCGAGGAGAAGCTGAATGTCGACCCGCTGAGCGATCCGTATTTCTACATCGACAACAATGATGTTGCAGACACTGATGGAGGGCTTCTCACGGCGCAAAACAAAGCATAGTATTATCAGTACTCTACCTTGCCAGACGACGCCAAGCTGGCTGCTGCCTGTGCTGAGAAAGGCGATCCCTAAAAAGTCAAACCGGCTGAACGCGTTGGGGCAACATCTTCACGTGCTACAAAACGCGAATATTCGCTCATATCATTGAAATACAATTAAGCTGAAATCATGGTCTGAGTGAAAGTGTGCAAGGGAGTGGATGTCAGTGGTATTCGTCAGTACATCTATCAGTATGGCAAGCTTTGGGACAACGCTCAAACTGCCAGCACAGAGGTCCCTGAACACAATTTGGAAGGCCAGCCACCAATCATCGTTTTGCACGCTGGTGTTGTAAAGAAGGTAGTGGTGTATACGGAATATCGTCACACTTCTGAACTACTCATGCCTGCAGCACCAAGAGGGCAAGTCTGACTTGCATTCTATTTACTTACATGTATCTGTTCCACATCACAATCAGAAACTGTAGGATCAACTTGCATGGAGTTACTGGGCATGGATGCTGCGCCAACTGTACCGAATCTTGACCTGTGTGACTTCAAACTCTATTTTCCATGCTTTCGCTCATCAGATTGCCACCAAACTTAATAACTGGATTAATAGTGCAGAATCAATTTTGAGCGAAAAATAATTTTTGAAAAAATTACATATGTTCAGGTTTCTGCTGGCTGGGGCTCACATGTATGTCATAATTTCTTATCAGTGTGTTGTTATACAAACGAAGTAGCGGTGAGGCATCCTGCAGCTTCATAACTCGAAGAGAATGGGTGAGCACACATGCTCATTCCCTGGGCACTGCAAATTCACAACTCATTTCATTTTACATAATCATTTTCAACGTTTCAGCAAATTGCCATCATCAGGATGCATATGAAACGTTGAAAATGATTCTGTAAAATGAAATGAGTTGTGAATTTGCAGTGCCCAGGGAATAAGCATGTGTGCTCACCAATTCTCTTCGGGTTGTTATACAAATTGGATCAACGCCCAGGATGTGGTAGGAATGCGGTTAGACATGCACATATGCAAGTGCAGCGATGTAATCTGAACTGGTCCAGGGTGACAGATTTGCACTTTATTAGTTCGGATTTCAACACTCACAACCGTACTTGCTCACTGTTTGGGTTTGAGTGCATACTTTCAGAGCGTGGTGAAGGTAAGTTACGTAATAAAGGCAGAGAGCCGCGCACTGACCCATAACCACAGTTTCTGTTCTTTGCTCGCGAAACCAGTTTGTGCAGCTAGTGCACCTAAACCCTATGTGAGGGTTCTTGTATGGAAATCCTGTATTCACATCTGGAATGCTCGATGTTCTGTATGCAGAGCCTACTATTAACGAGGATGGAGCCTGTGCTTCACCTAGCCTGCAGCAATGTAAGATACAATATACTTGTAGCTCGAAATACTTTTCTGTTTTCAGCTCATGCGCCTGAAGTCCACCTGTAGACTCCTCCCGAAGTCGTTCCGAGTTTTAGTACTTCGACATACTAACCCTTCATACGTGTAATGGATGGAACATAGTAATCATTGTTCCGTCTGGACCCGCTCAGGTGAAAGATTCTGGTATGATGGCGTCTCTCAGGAATATACCAAGCAATGGGAGCGTGACCGATTTTGAGAACAATTGACACCCTGGGGCAAAGGCCTGCACACATTGTAGTCGTGAGAATGCCGTAAATGAACATTTCCGGTTAAGACAGGATTCCACTCGATCGGGTGAAGGTCAGGGAACACATGATTTAACGTACGTTTATTGTGCAGTGCAAACACAGAACAGGATTGTTGTGAACCCTCTAAGATTGTCTAAATTGTCAGGATCGTACGACCACACGGCACGAGGACAACTCTTTTCCTTTACACAGTATATTTCACTTCATCGAATAATTAACAATGAACACTAATAACACCAGCTATTTATAGCATGCAAAAAAAGCGTACATGCAAAACATACGCATATAAATCTGGACATAACAGCGTATACAGCAAAAACGCACACAGCGCATATAGCGTATGCCATGCAGCAACAGCAGCGGTACGGCGGAGTCGAAATACAACATTGCAACGAATACAATGCCATAAGCGCGAAGGCCTTTCCCAATTGAGAACTGGTGGTTTGCAACATTCTCCCCACCAAAGGGCTTCTCACCGCCGTACAACAATGCACACAAGTCAAAAACGATCCGGGGCTCTGACTACGCGCCCAGAACGCGTCATCTCCTGCTGCCGTGGTGGTGGTAACGGTGCTGACGGTTCATACGCTGGCTGCTGAGGGACGATAGCAGGTTGAGCGGTATCTGCAAGCCCAGGAGCCACGTCCTGTGACGATACTTCTAACGGCACTAACCTTTGGATCGGCCTCAACAGGGTACTGGTACTCAACTTAACCTTGGCAACACGACGCTTACCATCTCGACCAGGGAATAACTGGATGATCCGTCTCAAACGCCAGAACTGTTTAATCTTAATCTGATCCCTCCCGGGTGATTCAGCGGCAATTTTGGAGTTTGTGCTTCTGACACTTTCAAAAAGGATTTTTTGCCTTTTATCCTACAAGGATAATTTGATATCGTACTCCTAATGCAGGTTTAGCGAAACCCAGCCTATTGACGCGGCTGCACATTCGTAGTACATACCTCATACGATGTTCCTGTCTTATGATCGGGAAAAAAGCTGCCGTCAACTGAATCCGCCGAGGGCCAAACCAAGCGGATTAGCATGCACTCTGCAAATTTAAGGGCACTCACGTCAGGTGAAAGATTCTGGTATGATGGCGTTTCTCAAGAATATACCAAGCAATGCAGGGATGAATTTATCCGGTATCGCATCGCAGTTTGCGATTCAACATCGATCAAGTGCGACTCAAAAATCACAGCGACTCACAGGAAACTGCGATGCATAAACAGCACTGCATACTAGCTCGCGCAGTCAGTAAAAGTGATGCTGTGACTGTGTCGTACACTCACTACACCTGTACAGTGCACGGACCCCGCTTTTTTCTCAGTAAGGTGTGATTTCTAGTACTGAGTACATGTACCTGTGAACTGTGGCTGGCTCTGCGTGCACATACTGACTGCATGTACTGGTGTCCTACTTGAACTACACGTACCACTTTGCGCGGCTTTCATTCAGTAAGTAAGTTCAGGTACATTCCGTACTGACAAGCATCATCTTTCCTCCACGATCCCGTTGGAGGTCTTGTTTTTTTCTCTTCTTTCTGGTTTACTTACCTCTTTTCGTGATATTATAGCTTTCTGCTTGTAGCCATTCGGTCTTTCTGGTCGTGAGGAAATTTTGGAATCGCGTTCGTCCTTCTCTCTGACAATTGTCCAAGCTGTAGTTTTTGTCTAGTCTGGTTCTGCCTCCAACATGTCTATACGACAGAGTACCTTTGAGAAGTGGGTCCCCGGTGGCAGAGGTCGATGTCGAGAGGAAATGGCTTCGTTCTGAGAAAGCTACAGGTGCAGCGGTGACGTTAATTTTCTGCCAGCTATGCAGACAGCACGAGTCCTCCCTCCGTGGACTGAAAAATTTTAGTCGGTCTTTTGTGGACGGGATTTCGGGGACTGCTCTGAAGAAGGACAATGTGGTGAAACATTCGAAGTCGGATATGCATAGCAAGGCGGTAGGAATGTCGGTCCTGGAGGGACTTTTTCGTGGAAGAAAAAGTGCTAATCAAAAATCAAGGACTGCTACGCATTTTGGTGTTTGCGTCGCGAAAACTGCTATGCAAAAAAATGACAGTAAATTCATCCCTGCAATGGGAGCTTGACCGATTTTGAGAACAAAAGACACAACACCCTGGGGCAAAGACCTGCATACATTATAGTCATGAGGAGGCCGTCAATGAACATATCCGGTTAAACACAGAACACATAGCCAGCAATCGCATGTCATCACGTACATTGAAAATCAACATTATTTTGCGAATCGACCTTTTTTTCAGGATCATTTTTCAACGAGGACGAAGCAAAGTCGGCCGAACGAAGCCTAGAGGAAGAAAATCACCCTCTCCACTTCACCATCACGATACTGACATAGATACGAGATGAAACAACTAAAATATCCACAAGAAAACTGTACGGCCATCATTTTGGTCTGACTTTGGTCTGAGAATTTCTATCACGATCAAAAATGTACGAGGAGCACTCAAAAATAAGCCACAGACGTACCTAAATCGCTATCTACTCCTTTTTCAAGGCACAAACAAAAGTCGACTCTCCACTTTCAAACCAGGAACCAGACATACCAGTGGTCCTTTTCAGCTGCTCCACGAGCGCAGGAAATGTTCACCAAGGGGCGCAGAGCAGCATCCATTCCAGAAAAAGAGCTAAAATACGAGTGAGACTGCATGCCTGAGTACATGAGTACATGTATGAGTACATGCAGAAAATAGTCAATTTCAGCGTTTCTGCTCCAAACAGCAACTAGCTTCGACTAGAAACAAAGATTACACCAAAGGATCAAACAACAACCATTTTCTGCAGTTTTTTTGCAGATGGCTTCCTTGTGCTTGGCCCAGCACGCCAAATATCACACCTCGGAGGAGTTCAAAAATTACAACTCTCAGATGTCCTTGATTGCTGGCCATGGGATTATCCTGGTTCATAACAATCAATGTAATTGTGCTTTACCTCATCCTTGATGTTACAGTCGGCCCCTCCAGCGATCAGCGCTTGACACACCTCGAGGTTATCTCTCCTGGCGGCATGGTGCAACGGAGTGTCGCCACGCTGGATGCACACGCAAGAAACAACAGTAGAGGAAAAAGTTCTCAATGAGTTAGATTGTGGATTACAGTCACAGTTGTAGATCAAAGCAAAACAATTCAGAGTGGAATTCAACAGTTGGTGGATATGGTACTACTTGTCTGGTATTTACATTGCATGATTGCCATTAGTGTACAGACATACATGTACACTTATACCTCGGTTATCCAGACCCCAAAGTTACGGGAATTTCAGGCTACCGGACACAATTTGGGCGAGTTTCAGTGGAAATTTTACTACTCTTTTGGCAATTTTTCTGGAAATAGTGACGACATACGACACATTATCTATGGCCATTCCCCGTCAAAATGTATGTGATTAGGAGTTATGGACATTTCGAAGTTACGGGCAGTGCCCGGATAAACAAGTTATGAGTGTATTTCATATTGTCGGATCATTGTGTCGTTGTACAAATTGGATCAACGCCCATGATGCGGTACGAATGCGGCTAGAAGTACACATATGCAAGTGCAGTGATGTGATCGGAACTGGTCCCTGGTACCAGTTTTGCGCTTTAAGTCGCATTTCAATGAAGAGAATTGTATCGCTGCCTTAATCTGATCCCTCCCGGGTGATTCAGCGGCAATTTTGGAGTTTGTGCTTCTGACACTTTCAAAATGGATTTTTTGCCTTTTATCCTCCATGTATTTATTTGATATCGTACTCGTAATGCAGGTTCAGTGAAACCCAGCCTATAAACGCGACTGCACATTCGTAGTACATACCTCATACAATGTTACTGTCTTATAAAAAATAAATAAATTTATCAGATGGCACGTGATTGTTGCCCGTACTCCAGCGAATCAGCAACTTTCGCGCCGCGGGCAATAATATGCGATATTGCCCGCAAAAAAATAGTTTATTTGCCCGCAAAAAATAGTTTATTTCAGGTATCTTGTGACTACGACGACTCTGTAGACTGTACGACTCACGACGAGTCGCAGTGTAGCGTTGAGACGAAGATGGAATAATTTTTGGAGATGGACATCCCGGCAATGGACATGGCCTCGGACGTCTGCCGTGTGGTGCTTGCAGGGATCATTTTGTTCAGTCATGTTTGCAGCCTGACCGTCGGTAAGCTTGTGGATAAGATTCAGTTCTGCTCGAAGTGGTACTGTGATCACAAACAATTATTTAGGAAATAACACAAATTCAACTCAGCGTCGTGCGTTTTCAAATCCTCGCAAAGTCACTGCCTGTGTGTGGTCTTCATGTGCCACGCAAAACTCTTACCAGGCTCATCTGTCCTCTGCCTTCACCTTTGCTTGAACAACAAACACAACAATTCAGGGATGTTTTGCAATGAAAAATACAGCTATCTGGAGCTGAAAAAAAGAAGACAAATTGTCCTCAGAATTACACACCAGGGAGTCGTCAAATACTTGTACTTGTTGCAGTACTGTATGTGACAACTGATACACATGTAAACATGAAGAAACTCTTTGTGGTAGCACTCTTATTTTTTCAACTGAAATTATGATTCTGCTGTATTTTATTGTCGTTGCCATGTCTATTGCTATGACGATGCGGTGCCGGCACTTTTTTTCTGTCTCCGTCTTTCAGTACTGTATACTCTCTGATGGCCTGTAGCAGGCTTTTTGTTAGGGTTTAGGAGAAATATCTTCATTTTTCCTGTTTGATAATGATAGCACATCAATATACATTGTGGTCATAATGTGTTGGCATTTGGGCTAATTTCAACAGCAGCCCAATGGTCTGCTCTGTGTGCCATGTGATAAATTTGTTATCGCATGGTTGCTGCGGGCCTTATGGCATATTATTGCCCCTCGAGGTTAGCCCTCGGGCTAACCTCGCGGGGCAATAATATGCCATAAGGCCCTTGCAACCATGCGATAACATAATTAGACATATTCGACGGGGTTCGCGTACCGGGCAGGTCAAGAACAAGGTGTCGTACAACTCCCTGGTCAAGAACCACCTTTCACGTCGGCTGAAGAGGTGCTCCAGTCCATCATGGACTCGGACAGTGATGACTGGAGCTGCGATAGTGAAGGCGATGACTCGAATGCGAACGTAGCCGTCCGCGATCGTGACAAATTTCGCAACCAAGTCCGCCGTGGTCAATGTCGTACCTACTGCCGTGGTCGCCTTGGACGGCCCTGAGGATATCGGAGGTGTCGATGTCGAGTTTGAGCAGGGCGCAAGACAACAAGTCGGTTTGAGTTGATACGACTAATTACAAAAAAATGGCCCGGCAAACCGCGTGCATATGGCCTGGCACTGAAAGGGATTTCAAAGGATCAAACAGGGAAGCGAACTGCCTGAAAGGAGATAAAAATGCCACACCCACCAGGCCTCAAATCCGGGACATTGTTTTTCATGAGCAAGGCTCACAAAACACTTCCTTTCACCTCTCGTAGTACGTTCCAGAAAACTCACCGTTGTTGGTCCCCCGGGAGAGGGAAAAGACCCAAGCGCCATCTGCATGTGTGGCATGTGTTGTGAGCCGCATTTGGAGTGAAACACTTGTCAGCACCTTCTGGGTTCGACCTGGTCCCATAGCTCACATATTTAGAGCATTTTTTTCTCAACACGACTGTTCACACAGGATGGGGCTGTGTTCCCAAAAATACGTTAAAGAAAATGGACAAAACAAATCAAATACAAACAAGAACACGATATGCAGCGAACGCACAGGAGGGAAGTGAGAAATGGCAACTAGTTTCAAGAGATGTTTAGAGCATTGCTCATGACAAGCAAGGTCCCGGGTTTGCGTCCTGATGGGTCTGGCATTTTTTTGGTCGCAGTGTGCAGGTCCTATATGGCATTTGGTACACTATTAGACGGTCGCTAGTCACGCAAGGCAGGTGCAGTTTCTTTGTAGAACTGTCCGTGGATGGAAAACGCTCGTTACAAGTTCATACGTCCGCAGATTTGTAGTACATTTTTAGTATGGTATTACTTATAATTTCCAGAAAAGTCACGTCAACTGAATCAGCCGTGGGCCAAAACTGAGCAGAGTTGCCCATGCACCCTGTCAACATGTCGGAGACTCATAACGTCTCCGATATGTTGATATAGAGCAGCGCAAGGAACAAAATGACGTAGGGCTGAAACGATCGTGATATTTCCTTAGTGGCTCAGCTGATATCATAACGATCGGCTTATCGGCTTAGCGACATATTTCCACACACGTAGTACATGTAATATTGTCATGGTTACTTGAATTTATTTTTCAAATTTCAATAAAGTAATAATTATGTCATTATACGTGATATGTTGATTGCAACAGAGATATTTTACTATCCTTTCTAATTTGAGCTGCCACAAATAACTTCAAAGCACACAATTCAATACAGGCCGTAACGTTACGCATGCACACACACAGACACACACACTACATACACACACACCTGCACACACACACACACACACACACACACACACACACACACACACACACACACACACACACACACACACACACACACACACACACACACACACACACACACACACACACACACACACACACACACACACACACACACACACACACACACACACACACACACACACACACACACACACACACACACACACACACACACACACACACACACACACACACACACACACACACACACACACACACACACACACACACACACACACACACACACACACACACACACACACACACACACACACACACACACACACATGAGCACACTCACACACACGCACACACACACACACACACACCTTGGTCCTTGGTAACACTGCCATCAAATGGTCACGTGTCCCCTGTGCAGGGGTCGACAGCACTGAGTTCAGCATTGGACCCAGAAACGCCGCTCTACTTCCTGGACAGGAAATTAGCACACCTATGCAGGTCGAAACCACGGGATGACTTGCAGCAGCGACCGCAGCCGAGACAATGCGCTCTGCAGCAGGGCAGGGCAACCCGCTGTTTCCGGACCGAGTCTGCCGATGCCACAGCCGAGACCGGCGCCAATTCAGCAGCCGAGTTGGAGAGACACTTATGCGAAGCTAGCCCGCCAGCACTCAAGAACCATCTCCCGCACGCATTACATAGTCGGCTGCCGGACTGCTCAGATATGGGCTTCCTCCTCTCGGCCAGGCACTTGTGGCGATTCTTGTATTTCTGGTGGGCGAAAGTACGCTGGCAAACATCGCAGAGCACAGAAGTGTCACGCTGAGCCGATCGCGGTACTGGTTGAGCGGAATACGCACTGCGCCATTTCCCACGCTCCTGGGCGAGGTCGTACCATTCCGTGTGGTCGATGTTCACTGCGGAGAGGTCAGCTCTGACAGAGTCTCGCCACCGTTTCCGAGGACCGCAAGCCGGCCTCGGCGGAAGGAGCGCACCAAACAGGAGCTGGCGCGGAGTTCTATCGCCGTCCATCGTAGCTAGATGGCCTAGCCACTCCAGACGGCGGCGAAGAACACGTGTGGTAATATCCACTGGATCTCGACGATTCCAGGCCTCCAGAATGGTCTTCCTGTTGATGTGGAAGTCCCAGGTGTCTCTTCTACCGAGGGCTAATATTGCGGAAATGCAGCGAAGATGGAAGGCGGACAGCGCCGCAAGCTCGCTTTTCAGTGGTACCCAACACTCCGCTCCGTAAAGGAGAAGAGAAGCCACACATGCATCATACACCATTCGCTTCGTTGCCAGTGAAAGATCGACATCATCAAAGACAGATCGACGCAATGCTCCGAATGCCCTAGATGCTGACGCTATTCGGGACCGAGTGTCCACTGCGGTGCGGCCACCAGTATGGATGATGGAGCCTAGGTAGCGAATGTCATGCACACTCTCGACAATTTCCCCGCCAACCACCAATGGACGACGATCCTCCGGAGAAATGCCGAAGCCGACCGCCATTACTTTGGTTTTTGATAGGTTGATGGTGAGGCCGAAGCGAGTTGCGACGTCCATGAACCGGCTGAGCGCAAGTGTGGCACCATGGTGAGTTGTAGCAATAAGTGCCGAATCGTCTGCGAATTGACAGTCACGATGGATGTCGAACGACCGTGCCATGGTGGAGTCTGTTTCGCCAACCAAAATTTGAAGCCGTGTTGCCAGCTTTGTGGTGATGGGGAGCATTATTGAGAGCGTGACGTACGATTGCCCGCTGGCAATCTGGGTGGCAAGCTCAAACGGCTTCAGAATTGTGACCAGGTGTTCAGCTGCGGCCCATTGCTGGTCCTTCAGCTGAAGGTCACGGTGTTCCTTCTTTGGAGTGCAGCTGCTGTCCGACAGCACAACCGTCAATGCTGTCCTTAGCTGTAGGGGGCGGCTCAACATGAAGAAGGTGGAATTCCACCTTGTAGGCACGTCCTGGACTATGGTTAGTGGCTGCTTGGCGCTGTCGAGCTGCAACTGCTTGAGCCTCAGGTGCTCAGCCGCCACAGACGAATGTTTAAAGTGCCCTACCAGTTTGCGACTGCAAGCCAACAACTTGTCCAGGCCCTTCGTTTTGCCGATGGCGTTCCTGATGACGGTCTGCAGCATGTGGGCCATGCAGACCTGGTTGTCGATATCGTCATCACGCAAAATAGCTGCAGTGGCAACCATGTTTCGGGCCTCATCGTGAGTCACACAGCTCACTTGTTGGCGTGGAATGCCGAAAGCATCCACAACGGATAGCAGATGTGCAGCCAGCTGTACACTGGTATGGTTGCCGTGGAATTGGTTAGTCTGCAGGACACAGCTCACCAGAGACCAATCTCTGTCAGTAAAATGTGCAGTGTATGTGACATAGCTCTGCGTCGCCATAGAAGTCCATCCATCGGTGGTGAGGGCTATGCCACACACTCCCTCATTCTCCAACAGCTTTTTCAGGTCAGCGATCCCTATTTCATGGCGCTTGCGCAGCAGCGAACTGAAATGAGTTTGCGACGGGAATGGGAAGGCAGGCTCCACAAACTTCATCAGAGCAACAAACCCACGATCGCCAGCGATGGACAGTGGTCTGGTGGAGTCGATGATCCAATCTAGAATCAAGTCGGCGGGCTCCTCGGAGCGACCGGACAAACAGGGACGACTGGTGGAAGTTGCCGAGTTCACAACCCAACTCGACAAGCTGCTGCTGCTGCTGCTGCGCTTCTCCGCTGCCACCAATGACGCATTACTAACATCTGATTCAGTAGTCGCACCCGAGGAGTGAACCAATTGGAACTTTGAAGGGTGAGCCGATTTCAGATGAGCGAACAGGTTGCTGGTTCCGCTCTGTCGAAAGTAAGTCTTTTTACAAAGTTTACATGTGTGCCTCTCCACACCGCGATTAAAATACGTCCACACACCAGACCTTGCTTGCCTGGAAAACGCCATGGCAGTCAGACGATACCTACCAACAATAATTATAACTACGAGTGTCAGAGAGAAGACGAACTACAAGTAAAAGGAAAACTACAATCTGCACCTAATCACCTTGTGGAACTAGTATTTCGTCTGTGCTTGTCGTTCGGCAGTGCACCGTAGAATGTTTACAAGTGCAGTTCAGTTCACATGGTTCACGGCCAGTCACACTCACAGTGCAGTAAACACTGACAGTCTGTGAGTGTGACTGGACGTATAGACCCGAGTAGATATTGTAGACCGCGCAAGTAGTTCCGCAGTGCACCGTACCAAGTCAACTAGCATGACTGCACTGACTGACTAGACTGTACATCACTGCAGAAGGGCCCCACACGCGAGCCGCCGGTGGACGAATAGTAGTAATATTTACACACTTATCATCCAAATATGTGCTCATTTCAAGCAGATAAGCCAATAGCGAGTAAAAATAATCGCTCGGTATCTTTTCTAACGAGTATATACCGAGTATCGGTATAATCGTTTCAGCCTTAAAAATGAGTAACGCAACTTGCAGAAGTCTTAACTTCCCTGCTTTTGTGCTTTGCTTTCCAAACAAGTTTGTGCAACTTTTTGCTTTTCGGTTTCCGGATCATGCACACAAAGTTCTTGTTTCCACTCTTCCCGAAGTCATTCCAAGTTCTTGTACAGGTAGACTCCCTCTAATTCGAATACGGAATAATTCGAACATTCCATGTAACTTGAACTTTTTCGTCGTACCGATCTTCTGCAAGTCACTTCAAGTTAAATTCGAATGCATAATTCGAAGTACGAAAAGTGCGCCCGCTGGATAATTCGAACTCTGTCTTCGTACAGAAGAACAGTTTACAGTACAGTGACTATGTCCTTCGAGCGCTTATTTCGAAGTGAGATGGAGTTGCTCTACTCGTAATTCGAAGTTCATTTTTTCTCCTTCTCTAGCCAAAGGACTAACTCCAAAAAATTGATCCCTGGTCCGCTCCAGGATCGACAATAGCGTTGAAGAAACCAACCTTCTCTCGAAATTATATCCAAGCCTGTGCAAGGCAAAGTGCAACGATTTGATTGAAGACGACTTCTTCCAGGTGGTTGGCTCTCTTCGCGGAACTCAATGGCTTGTCATGCCGCGCCAGCTCATGCGCAAAGAAGTTTAGGACTGAACAACAAGTGGAAGTAACATTGTCTATGCCTATGCTCCACTTCTGTTCTTGAGAACGACGTGCTGCTCTCCGACGGGCTTTCATGACGCAGAGAAGGCAGCGCTCTTTTTTTGCCTTGAAATCGTTTCAGGACAACGGCAGCGATTGAAAACTGCTTCACTAGAACTTCGTAGAAGATGAAAATAATGCCCAATGACTTCATGTCGATCCAGTGTTTTGGTGAAATGACCTGATGTCGTTGTTCATGACCACCTATGTTTCGTTGTATTATTATTATTATACGCATGTTCGCGTTAATGTCAACCATGTTCACATCTTCGTATATGCCAGAACCAAACGATCAGCTGTATGATACTGTAGAAGCAAGAATGCATTTTAACGGTACAACACAACGGACAATATACTTTACTATGGTGATTGCCAGCATGGTCGGTGACGACCGAAACCTATGCGGGGAAATAATAGTCATGATGGAGTGGTAGATGCAAACTGTGGCCTTCCTCAATATAGAGCACGGCAGAAGTCTCTCCATGTTTCGATGTTGCAAATAAAATGTGCAAAAATAATGAGCACGCAATTTCGAGCATTTTGACATACATATCAGTACATGGGACTGCATTTTGGATAATTAGAAGTTATGGATAATTCGAATTTAGTGCCTGGCAATTTGAGGTTCGAATTAGAGGGAGTCTACCTGTACTTCGACATACTAGCAGCTGATACATGTAATGGATGGAACATAATATTGTACCACCTGCACCTGCTCAGGTGAAAGATTTTGGCATGATGGCGTCTCTCATGAATATGCCAATCTTGCACATCTTGTACACAACGGGAGTGAGGCCAATTAAAAAAATAGACACAACACCCTGGGGCAAAGATCTGCCCACATTGCAGTGTTGAGGAGGCAGTAGATTGAAAATTGCTCCTTCATGCAAGGATTCCAATTTGGTGAGGGTCTGTGGAACACATGAGTTGTTTTTTCTCGATAGTACATTGTAAGCACAGACCATAATCATCATGGTTCATGACATCCTATTATACTGTCCTTTACCGCATTCTTGATGTCACAGTCCGCCCCTGCAGCGAGCAGCGCTGGCACACATCGATTTTTTCTGCCCAGGCAGCATGGTGCAACGGAGTGTTGCCATGCTGGAAGCAGTTAATTTTACAGAGTAAAGCAGAACAGGATCAGCATGATTCATGGCACTCTAAATCCGGTTCTTTACCGTATTCTTGATGTTACAGTCCGCCCCTGCAGCGAGCAACGCTTGACACATCTCGATTCTACATGTACCACTCCTGGCGGCATCATGCAACGGAGTGTTGCCATGCTGGAAGCACATGCAAGAAACAACAGTAAAGGAAAAAGAGTTCTTGAGAAGTCTGAGTGTAGATCACAATCACAATTGTAAATCAAAGCAAAACAATGCAGAGTGGAATTCAACAGTTTGTTCAAATGGTACTAATTGTCTGGTACTGCCGTCGACATGGAAATCCGGTTGCACTTCTAGCGGTCCCTGGGCGCTGCCCATGTAGTCTTGATTCGGTATGCGTAGTCTACGGTACACACATGCAGTGCACTGGTCATATCGGATCAACAAGTGCACTGCATGCAACGTTCTGTACACACTGAGAGCGCCGGTCCCGGTCATTCGACTGGATTTCCATGTCCAAGACAGTATTTTATTTTGGGTTTGCGTCCTGGTGGGTCTGGCATTTTTTGGTCGCTGTGTGCAGGTCCAATAATTATGGCATTTGGTACACTATTAGACGGTCGCTAGTCACGCAAGGCAGGTACAGTTTCCTTGTAGAACTGTCCATGCATGGAAAAATGCTCCTTAGAAGCAGATGGTGGCTAAAAGCAGAGGTCGCTTACACCAGGTTTTACTGTAGAGTGAAATCTGGCCAAGTTCATACGTCCACAGATTTGTAGTACATGTCTAGTATGGTATTACTTATGATTTCCAGAAAAGTCACGTCAACTGAATCAGCAGTGGGCCAAAACCGAGCAGAGTTGCCCATGCACCCTGTCAACATGTCGGATACTCATAACATCTCTAATAATTATGTTGATATAGAGCAGCGCAAGGAACAAAATGAGAAACGCAACTTGCAGAAGTCCTAAGGGAGCATCTCATAAGTTCGCATTTTGTTTCTAAACATAACGCATTTCGAAACGGGGGTAGGGAGGTAGCGCCCTTTTCGAATAGAAAAATGACTGTTGGCACATTTTCTGGAACTGTACAATCTACTACCGTGCTAGATCCCTGCAGCAAATGAGTGTGTTTTGGTGGAGATCTACCTGTGTTTGCAGATCAGCTAACCCTTGCACTACATGCATGCAGGCTACTCAGGCGTGTCAAATATCACACCAGCCTGATCAAACCGTGTACATGTGCCTGGCCAGCATTTATAGCAGTACAGTTGTTGTGGAGGAACTATGTTTATGTGCGTGTACATGTCATTGATTGTACTTGTACGCAGTAAATGTGGTACTACTGTATGCCATTCACGACCGCTCTAGCAAAACATTCATATCCATGTACATGTACATGTTACGAATTTGTATTACAACTATGATTTACGCATGTCGTTGTATTTGGTTCTTGTCTTGTGGAGTCCAGTGTCTGATGTCATATATGGTCTAAGTGTACGCGCGAGTATGGTGTGATGTGTGACGTTTATGGTATGTGGTGCATGCAAGAGTACGCGTTGTCAGAGTGTGAGGATCTGCTTCCGTCTGTGTGAGAGTGACTGTCAAGTGAATGCTGTACATGCGCAGTGCTAGTTTGGTCTGGGAATGAGAGTCATGTGTGATTCGTCCGTGGTCTGGTTGTCTTGGTCTTGGTCATATGTTCTGTACGTATTCGTCCCTGATTGGTCGTCTCGAGTTGTCGTCGGCTTATTACTGCTTGTTCGTTGTTGTTTCTTCGAATCTTTTCTGGAGTCTTTTCTGGAGTCTTTTCTGGAGTCTTTTCGAGAGTCTTTTCCCGGGAGTCTTCCCGTTGTCCTTTTCGTCCTCACCAAGTTTGTCTCTCTCCTCCTGCACCCTCGTCATTTCTTGGTATAATATAAGAGTATTGAAGATACAATCAAGAGTTTGCGTTGTTGTGTGGCGGGGGCCAGGGGGAGAAGCATTTCCTTTACAGTGGCGCCCAACGTGGCGCTCAAACCCACGACCCTGAGATTAAGAGTCTCATGCTCTACCGACTGAGTACAATCATGTACATAAGCATACCATAGCATGGGGCCGCATGGACGTGTACAGTAGATAAACACAGAAAATGTGCGATAAGACTTTCGAATAGAGGGGGGAGGTAGGGGGAAAAGTCTATTCGAAATACGTTACGTTTGCAAAATAAATGCTAACTTATGAGATGCTCCCTAACTTCCCTGGTTTTGTGCTTTGCTCTCGAAACAAGTTTGTGCAACTTTTTGCTTTTCGGTTTCCAGATCATGCACCCGAAGTTCTCTTTTCTACTCCTCCCAAAGTTATTCCAAGTTCTTGTACAGGTAGACTCCCTCTAATTCGAATACGGTATAATTCTAGCATTCCGTGTAATTCGAACTTTTTCTTCGTACCGATCTTCTGCAAGTCACTTCAAGTTAAATTCGAATGCATAATTCGAAGTACGAAAAGTGCACCCGCTGGATAATTCTAACTCTGTCTTCGTACAGAAGAACATTTTACAGTTCAATGACTATGTCCTTCGAGCACTTATTTCGAAGTGAGATGGAGTTGCTCTACTCGTAATTCGAAGTTCATTTTTTCTCCTTCTCTAGCCTGGATTTTCATGTCCAAGACAAGACAGTATTTTCATTGCATGTTTGCCATTAGTGTACAGACATACATGTATGTCATATATTCTTATCAGTGTGGTGTTATACAAATTGGATCAACGCCCAGGATGTGGTAGGAATGTGGCTAGACATGCACATATGCAAGTGCAGTGATGTAATCTGAACTGGTCCAGGGTGACAGCTTTGCACTTTATTAGTTCGGATTTCAACACTCACAACCGTACTTGCTCACTCTTTGGGTTTGAGTGCATACTTTCAGAGCGTGGTGAAGGTAAGTTACGTAATAAAGGCAGAGAGCCGCGCACTGACCCATAACCACAGTTGCATACTCTTGTTTATGCACTCTTGCTACTCTCCATGATAATGGAGTCTGTGCTGCACTAGCCTGTGGCAATGCAAGATACAATATACATGTAGCTCGGAATACCTTTCTGTTTCCAGCTAATGCGCCTGAAGTTCTCCTGTATGCTCCTCCTGCAGTCGTTCTGAGTTTTTGTACTTCGACAAACTAGCCCCTCATACGTGTAATGGATGGAACATAATAATAATTATTATTGTTCTGTCGAGACCTGCTGAAGTGAAAGATTCTGGCATGATGGCGTCTCTCTACACTATACCAAGCAATGGGAGCGTGACCGATTTTGAGAACAATAGACACAACAAACTGGGGCAAAGACTTGCACACATTGATGGGGTGAGGAGTCAGTAGATGAGAAATTTCGGGTTAGGACAGGATTCCACTCGGATAAAGGTCAAGGAACAGATGATTGTTTGCACGTTAATTGTACAGTGCAAACACAGAACATGATCATCCTGGTTCACAACACTCAATGTCACTGTGCTTTACCTCATTCTTGATGTTGCAGTCCGCCCCTCCAGCAAGCAGCGCTTGACACGCATCGAGTTTACCTCTCCTGGCGGCATCGTGCAATGGAGTGTCGCCATGCTGGATGCACACGCAAGAAACAAGAGTACAGGAAAAAGAACTCAATGAGTTAGATTGTGGATCACAGTCACAGTTGTAGATCAAAGCAAAACAATTCAGAGTGGAATTCAACAGTTGGTGGATACGGTACTACTTGTCTGGTATTTACATTGCATGATTGCCATTAGTGTACAGACATACATGTACACTTATACCTCCGTTATCCAGACCCCAAAGTTACGGGCATTTCAGGCTACCAAACACCCTTTGGTTGAGTTTCAGTGGAAATGATACTACTCTTTTGGCAATTTTTCTGGAAATAGTGACGACATAAATATTTATGGCCATTCCCCGTCAAAATGTATGTCATTCGGGGTAACGGACATTTCGAAGTTATGGGTAGTGCCCGGATAAACAAGTTATGAGTTATTATTATTATTATTATTATTATTATTATTATTATTTAAAAATTCGACGAGGAGACAATAATTTTAATATGGCAATAAGTAGGACGAGCTGAAGCGACATGTGGACTACTTTATTAACAATGTAAGCGATGGAGACGATGCAAGAAACAACCTAAAGGGTAAGGAAAAATACATGTAAGAAGAAAAAGGGCAATGGAAAAAAAAAGATGATTCGAACAAGTTTTCGTACAACACTCTTCAGGAATCACCGTTGTACTAAAGAACAAAATGAGAACAAAGGAAATAATATAGCAATCAAGGTAGGGTGACACGATACAATGACAGCACTAGAATATCGAGGTGCGATTTCTCACAAAAGTGTGCAGAAAACAAGGGTATACAAGTAAGAACTAAGCGTGACAAGTGTGTATCAGCAACAAAAAACAAAAAAGTGAGAACGAATGATAATAATAACAATAATAAACAAGAAGGTGACAAAACACATTTAGGCACAAGTGGCAACAACGTTGCCACACTACACAACAGAACATTATTTGAACAATTTTAAGGTAATAACACTATCTTTCTGGACACACAAATTCGGCTTATGAATGCGCTGACAAACAGCTTCCAAAACTTGTAACTGCAAAAGATAACCATGACGAGCACGGCACAAAACAGAAAAACAGGAATCAGAATAAGTACGACAACAGTCAGTACTAGAAACCAAATGATTGTATACTGAAGACTTGTTATTACGAGACGGACGCACACAATCTCGACTCACGCGCACACCCTCACACTCACTCTCACCCTCACTCAGCTCACCTTCTCCCTCACTGTCCGAATCAGAACCTGCTCCGTCATCCACCGCGGTTTGACTCTCCTCCTCACTTGCATCGTCCTGCGTCTCACCTTCACCACCCACGCCAACCCTGAATGCCGTTGCCTTCACGTCAGTCGTCGTCCTTTCCGATTGTTTCCTTTGTATTTTTACCGTGAATTCATAGGTCCGGTTGTAATCTGCTGTAGATCTCCGTGGTCTGTCATTTGCTGCTTTGTTTTGTGGATTAGTTGTTGTTGTTGTTGGATGTGAACCTGGTGTTGTTGTTGGATGTGCAGCTGGTGTTGTTGTTGCAGCCATGGTTGTTGGTCTTTCTGTTGGATCCAGCTCTGGTTCCGGTGGGACAAATCGACCGCCGCGGGTGCTCCCCACCAACACAGACCTCGAAGGAGGAGGGTCAGGGGGAGGCAAAGGTGCTGTCACCACTCGAGGCACAGCCCCATGCAAAGCACCCAGAGACACAGACTTAGGCACACCCGAGGGCTGCACCAATGGCGGTTCCGCACGCACCTCCAAAGAGCTGCCAAGCTCCAGCCCGTCCAACACAGATGTCAGAGGGGGAGCGGCAGACAGCGGCAGGGAACTATCCTGCCGTCTAGGTGATGGGTTTTTCCTAGGCCTCCCGCGTTTGGGCCTCTCAGATTGCGCACTGGGTGGAAGGATGTGAAGTGGAGTGTGTTGTTTGATACGTGCGTTCAGGTGCTGAACAGTCCTACCAACATACCGACTAGCACAATGTCGGCATTCGAAGTTGTAGATAACATGACTGAGGTGGAGGGTTGGTAGGACGTCCTTCCGCACCGTGAACGCACGCATTGTTGTGAAGACTGGCACAAAATGTACTGCATAATAAGTACGACGGACGATAGACTTGACTGCGTGACACACTTTGATCGATTCCTGCCCCTTCCATGGCAAACATAGATAGACGGGACAGCGAGGTGGACCAATCAGCACCGATTTCGGTTTCTGCTCCATGGACAGAAACTTACGCAACAAGAATTCCGGATAGCCATTCTTCAAGAAAACAGATCGAAGGAAATCGAGCTCGGCCTGCAGCTTACTGGGCGAACAAATACGTTCCGCACGGTCCACGAGGTTACGAACTAAGTTGACCTTGTATTGAGACGAACAATATGAATCGAAGGCAATGTACTGACCGGTGAACGTAGGCTTACGATACACAGAAGTCAACATTTCACAGCCAGTCTTCTCTACAAGCACGTCTAGAAATGACAACTTACTAGACTGCTCGTGCTCACAAGTAAAGCGGAGGGAAGGATGTAGGCTGTTGAGCACATCGAGAAACAATTCACTGCTCTCAACACTGTCAAAATGCGTGAACGAATCGTCAACAAAACGCACGTAGAACGCGGGCCAAAGCGACTCATCAATCTTGCACTCACAATAACCAACGAATATATTGGCGAGGACGGGACCAAGAGGAGATCCCATCGCCACACCATCTACTTGCTTGTACATCACATCGTTGAACGAAAATTCGACACCAGTTGTAACTGACAGCATCAAATGACGAAACGCCGCTTCCGATACCCATGGAGTATCAACATCATCGTTACGGTACAATACATCCATACAGATGTCAACAGTCTCATCAATAGGAACATTCGTAAAGAGACTTACAACATCGAAGGAACACATGTGTGCATTGAGAGGGACCGGACTATCACGAAGCCTCGCAACAAAGTCGAAGCTATCCTTCACAGTGCGTTTGCAATAGTAATCTTGAACAGGCTGTAGGTAGATGCACAGCCATTTCGAGATAGAGTATTGAGGGGAGGCGGTCATGGATACTATTGGTCTAACAGGGCATGTAGGTTTATGAATTTTAGGAAGGCCATAGAGTCTAGGACGAAGGGTACCAGTCGGTTTGATGCGATCGAATTCATGTTTTGATATTTGTTCTTCATTCTTTAGCTTCTTAAGGTAAGTTACTAGATCCTTTTCTACTTTTTCAGTTCGATCACAGGTCTTGACCGGACCAAGTGTACGGAACTTTGATGTGTCATTTAGGATAACGGACATCTTCTCGATGTAGTCAGTTTTATTCTTTGTTGCGAGGCTTCGTGATAGTCCGGTCCCTCTCAATGCACACATGTGTTCCTTCGATGTTGTAAGTCTCTTTACGAATGTTCCTATTGATGAGACTGTTGACATCTGTATGGATGTATTGTACCGTAACGATGATGTTGATACTCCATGGGTATCGGAAGCGGCGTTTCGTCATTTGATGCTGTCAGTTACAACTGGTGTCGAATTTTCGTTCAACGATGTGATGTACAAGCAAGTAGATGGTGTGGCGATGGGATCTCCTCTTGGTCCCGTCCTCGCCAATATATTCGTTGGTTATTGTGAGTGCAAGATTGATGAGTCGCTTTGGCCCGCGTTCTACGTGCGTTTTGTTGACGATTCGTTCACGCATTTTGACAGTGTTGAGAGCAGTGAATTGTTTCTCGATGTGCTCAACAGCCTACATCCTTCCCTCCGCTTTACTTGTGAGCACGAGCAGTCTAGTAAGTTGTCATTTCTAGACGTGCTTGTAGAGAAGACTGGCTGTGAAATGTTGACTTCTGTGTATCGTAAGCCTACGTTCACCGGTCAGTACATTGCCTTCGATTCATATTGTTCGTCTCAATACAAGGTCAACTTAGTTCGTAACCTCGTGGACCGTGCGGAACGTATTTGTTCGCCCAGTAAGCTGCAGGCCGAGCTCGATTTCCTTCGATCTGTTTTCTTGAAGAATGGCTATCCGGAATTCTTGTTGCGTAAGTTTCTGTCCATGGAGCAGAAACCGAAATCGGTGCTGATTGGTCCACCTCGCTGTCCCGTCTATCTATGTTTGCCATGGAAGGGGCAGGAATCGATCAAAGTGTGTCACGCAGTCAAGTCTATCGTCCGTCGTACTTATTATGCAGTACATTTTGTGCCAGTCTTCACAACAATGCGTGCGTTCACGGTGCGGAAGGACGTCCTACCAACCCTCCACCTCAGTCATGTTATCTACAACTTCGAATGCCGACATTGTGCTAGTCGGTATGTTGGTAGGACTGTTCAGCACCTGAACGCACGTATCAAACAACACACTCCACTTCACATCCTTCCACCCAGTGCGCAATCTGAGAGGCCCAAACGCGGGAGGCCTAGGAAAAACCCATCACCTAGACGGCAGGATAGTTCCCTGCCGCTGTCTGCCGCTCCCCCTCTGACATCTGTGTTGGACGGGCTGGAGCTTGGCAGCTCTTTGGAGGTGCGTGCGGAACCGCCATTGGTGCAGCCCTCGGGTGTGCCTAAGTCTGTGTCTCTGGGTGCTTTGCATGGGGCTGTGCCTCGAGTGGTGACAGCACCTTTGCCTCCCCCTGACCCTCCTCCTTCGAGGTCTGTGTTGGTGGGGAGCACCCGCGGCGGTCGATTTGTCCCACCGGAACCAGAGCTGGATCCAACAGAAAGACCAACAACCATGGCTGCAACAACAACACCAGCTGCACATCCAACAACAACACCAGGTTCACATCCAACAACAACAACAACTAATCCACAAAACAAAGCAGCAAATGACAGACCACGGAGATCTACAGCAGATTACAACCGGACCTATGAATTCACGGTAAAAATACAAAGGAAACAATCGGAAAGGACGACGACTGACGTGAAGGCAACGGCATTCAGGGTTGGCGTGGGTGGTGAAGGTGAGACGCAGGACGATGCAAGTGAGGAGGAGAGTCAAACCGCGGTGGATGACGGAGCAGGTT